TGACCATTCAAAGTTACAATGGCCCTGAAAAATGTCAGTTATGACCGTTTTTCAGAGTTACAACCTTTGCAGCATCCCCATGATTCTGGGAGTTGAAGTCCGGACATCTTCAAGTTGCCAAGGTTGAGAAACACTGCCTTACACGAATGATGGACCTCCTCACTCATGATCCCCAGGAAAGTCGCCTTGCAAGGCTGCATTTCCTTTTATTTTATGCACACTGAGAGCACATGCACCAAGGGCAAATCCCTTGTGTGTCCATTGTCCAATCACACTTGGCCAATAAAGTATTCTATTCTATTCTATTCTATTCTATTCTGTTCTGTTCCAAAAGGGCACGGCAAGTTCTTCAGAGCTAAGCCATTCGCCCGTCCACCCGGACGTCCCTCGCATCTCTCCCCCCGTCCCGCATTAAAACTTTCGCGCGCTTGAACGGCAGCGGCTGCTTCAGGCCGCCGCTGGGGGTCGCTCGCCTCCCCTTCGCGCGGGCCTCGCCTGCCGCAGCGGAGGTGTGGAGCTAAGTGGGCGGCGGCGGCGCGGCCCCGCCCCCGAACCGGCCGACTCCCTACCGCGAGGTCATTACCACGCCCCCCCTGCTCCCGCGAGGCGGGGAGGGGCGTGGTCGCCCTTGCTGCAGGCTGAGTTCCTCGGGAACAGGCGGCTTTTCGGAGGAAAAAGCCGGACGGATTCCAACCTGAGAGCGAGAGCGCTTAGCTGGAGTTGGGCAGCCCCAGGAGCGGTCCCGCTTTTCCCCCCCACCCGCTTGCTGGGGTCGAGAGGCGCATCTGGACGGAGGCGAGGATTGCCTGGAACGAGAAAGGTGCGGAGAGGCGCCGTCCCGAGTGGGGCTTTTGGGGTGCGGATGGTCTCGCGGGGACCCTTACCCTGCTTTTTCTGCGCTCCCTTCCTTCAGGTGGCTCCGATTGCTGGGCTGCCTGCTGGTGGCCAAAAGAGGGGCTGGGGGGAGAGGTGGGGACGGAGAGAGATGCATGGCGATGGGCACAGGGGGGCTTTGGGGTGGGGACTGGGGGGGTTTCAGGAAACCCAGGGGTCGCAGAACGAAGATTTGGCGCCAGAAAGCAGGGGGGGAGGAGGAGCAGGGACGATGTCTCGGAGCCTTCTGGGTTAAAGGTCTTGCTAAGAGGCAGCGCTAGCAAAGGAAGCAGAAAGCTGCAGTGATTTAGGCAGGGACTTTCGGAATAACGAGGGGGGTCGACTTTGGAGAAGACGGAAAGGAGGGGGGGGGGTCTGTGATGCATGGACGACAATTAAACCGGTTGCGGACAGGAAGCAAGAGATGGAGTGGCATGCAAACCTTTGCAGGGCTGAAGAGGGGGCTTCAGGAATGCAAGATGGGATCAGGGAGAGGGAATGGGAATAAAGAATTGGGGGCGAAAGAGGAGGGACAGGGGCTGAGTATACTGGGTGGTAGGGAAGAGGTGGGTAGTGTGGATGTTGGAAGAGCAGGTGAGATCTGAAGGGACAATTTAAGAGTGCATTTCCTGAACGTTTAAGTGAAGCTGGAGAGGAAACGTGTTGCAATTATCTACATTTTTTCCCCCGAAAGGAAGGTTGCAAGCTGTTTATGATTTTCTCCAGGGAAAGTTGGATTTGGATTACGGTAGTTAGTTCTCTGGTGTCCTTCTCTCGCCTGCCTGGTCTTTGTTTAGTCTCAAGGACTCTGTATGTTGGGGTGTGTGTGTGTGTGTGTGTGTGTGTGTGTGTGTGTGTGTGTGTGTGTGCATGTGTTCTGTCCTTTTGTGTGTGCCTGGTGCCTGCAGAGGGATTGAAACCAGATTCTAGGATTTCAGATTTCAGTTTTGTTAAGCCCCGAAGCGACTTAGGGTGTGCTTCCAATTTTTGATCCTTAAGAGTTGCTTTGTTCAGGATATCTGTGCTTGATTGGGGATTTGTTTTAGTGAAATCCAGAGGTAACAATTTAGTTGCAACAAGTTTCTCTGTTAGCTGAGCTGCAACATGGCAGTGAATAAAGTTGCTGCTGCTGGCGGACTCTGTATTCTGCCTCTGTTTTTAACTGTGATTATCAACTCCTTTGCAAACAGAAACTCCATTCAGTAAATAGCTGTTCGCAAGCCTATCCTTGAATGGGGGTGCAATTGTGACAAAAGACTTACCTGTTTTTCTCAGAGGTTCGAGCCTTTTCCTTAAGAAAGCAAATATATAATTTCTTCCTATTGCCTTCTTCATTGTATTCAGGTATACAGACACCTCTAAAGAGCAGCTTTTTCACATAGCCCGCTGGGATAGGATCAGTTCTATTCATTATCTGAGAAAGGGTGGTTAGCCCAGATGTCTGTCAAAAAGGAATTGAGGGGTCCTTGTTCCTTAGTTGTTTAATATTTAACACTTGTCTCGTGAGATCATTTTTCTAGAGCTCTTTCACTCTCTTCCTTCCACAGAAGAATTTAAAAGATTAAGTCAGGCTTGCAATTAAGTCAGTACAACTTACTTGCCCATCTGTTCACACTTGTGTCCTCATTTAGTCCATTCTGCCTTCTTGTAAGAAAACCAACTACTCTTCATTTTACAAAGATTTCCCTAAAGACTATTCTTTGTCTTTGTAAGAAGACTGCCAGATGATCTATAAGCAATTTGTTTATCAATCATGTGTAGTAATCATGATCTCTGTTACCTCCTTTAAATTGTTTCTACTTGGAGCTCTGCCTGTTTTCTCTGTTTCATCCAGTTGGCATCTTTNCTGCTGGGGGGGGGGGCAAAAAACAGCCTGTTTTTTGCGAAAACGGGTCCGTTTTTTGTAAAAAAAAAAAAGTGTATGCATAGCCTTATGGAGGCTTATAGAGTGCTGCTGGGGGGGGGGGCAAAAAACAGCCTGTTTTTTGCTCATTTCTGCCCTCCCCAGCCCCCAGAAGCTCTCTGAAAGCCTCCATAAGGGTATGCACAGCCATTTTGGTGAAGGGGTGGGGCTTCAGGAGGCAAAAAATGCTGTATTTGATAGATAAGACGCACCCAGATTTTCTGCCTCTTTTTTGAGGAAAAAAGGTGCATCTTATACTTCGAAAAATATGGCATTTTTTTGTACTTCAATGCTGAAAGAATAAGAATTATGAATAAGAAAATATATAAGAATTATATATTTATAATAGGGTTTTTTCTTCTTTTTTACTTAACTGTTGCTTTCTTATTTATTTAGTAAATTTGTAAGCCATCCATTTCATGTTTATGACTCTGGGCAGCTCACAGTTGAAACAGAATAAAAACAACAACCAGAGTTAAAAGCAACAAAAAGGACATTAAAATAGCAGTCAAGAAAACTCGCAAATACTTAAATGAGCCATGTATTTATGTATTTGGTTTCACTTTGGATATAGCATCCACTAATTAAATTTTAAATTTTTTAGCTGGGCCTTGGCATGATCTTTCACAGCTATTAAGTTTTTAGTTTACTGTCAACTTAAATGAAAAATGAATTATTGAGGATCCTCTTTTTATGAAGTCTTATAAACAGTGTAAATTTTTGTATGTTTAATGTGCACGTGCAGATGTTGCAACAACTTATCCTGACAAGAAATCCATCTTGATGTATGTGACATCACTTTTCCAAGTCCTGCCCCAGAAGGTTACTCTAGAAGCCATCCATGAAGTTGAAACATTGCCACAGGAAGTAAAGCACATTAGAGAACAACAAATCCAATTACATCCACAATGGTTTTCTCAACAGGTGAGTCGTATGTTTTTTCTCTCCCTGTTATATTAGACTAGTGAACATTAATTTCCTACAGAGTTATTTGTGTACTTGTCTTGTGTTTCTTTAAAAGGTAAAGAAACTCCAATTATGAAACCATGAAGCTACTGAACTTCTCTGTAGTTGTTACCAAAATCTGTCATTTAACAATTTACAAGGATTATTACTGAAAATTAATTTGCATAGAAATGTTAAGGTACTGGGAACAGCTGGTGAAATTCTTATTATTTTTGTCCAAGTTTTGATCATTTTTCCCCACAAGCTGAAATATTCTAGACTTATTCATAAATCATTTTTAATTATAGTTCTTCTTTTTCAACCTGGAAAAGCTTGCCTTTCATTGATTTCAGATCTTATTTGCATGGATTATATTTTAACTGCTATGCATGTTAAAAGTGCTGATGTAAAAATGTAGATTTTTGTTATTTTTGTATTTCACATAATGTATATTAAGCTTCAATAATATGCACACAGTTTTTTTTAAAGAATCTGAAACAGTAAGGTAAATGTCAGGACACTTATTTTGACATTATTAAGACTTCGCCAACCCAAAGTTTTCAGGATTATAATAATTTAGTAAAAACTACTTGTTTTTTTTAAATTGCTTGTTTCTTTTAACAATATGCATATATGAAAAAGCATGAATAATTGGAAACTATTCATCAGTAGCTCTACAAGGAAAGTAATAATATATTAATTATTTAATATGCTCAGGTCATGTTTGTATAAATTACTATAATTTTTCATTTCACACAAAGTTTTCTTTTTAGCCAGATCTAATAGCTGCCAGATCCTATTGTGTGTTTCAGAGCAGCTTCTTTTAAATGTGATGATCTGATGATAATATGAATTTACAAAGTAGCAGAAGCTAAATAATTAAATAATGATTCAAATCAAGCATCCCAGGATATATTGTGGTTGCACATTAACAATTCATGTGTAAAGTTTTCCAAAAAATATTTCTTAACTCTTCAAACAAACTTCCCTACCAACGAATACTTCATTGCTATTTGATGGTCTTTCCATACTCAAAAGAAGATACCAGATGAAGCCAAATACCCAGATTCACTAGCCATTATTCTAGGTGATTTCAACAAAGGTAACTTAAGGAAAGAACTTCCAAAATATTTTCATCATGTCAATTATCCCACTAGAGGCAATAATATTTTAGACCATTGCTACACAGCACTAAAAGATGCTTATTGGTCCTTACCATGAGCAGTTGTGGGCCACTCTGATCATTGCATGATTCACCTTGTACCTACTTACATACAAAGACTTAAAGCCATGAAACCAACAATTAAATCAGTGAGGACTTGGACTAAGGAGGCAAAGTTAAAGCCATAGGCTTGCTTTGACTACACTGACTGGGATATTTTTGAAGAAACCTCTGAAGACCTGGATGAACTCACAGTTACTGTTACATCATATGTCAACGTCGGTGAAGACCTATGTGTACCAACCAGGAACTTGTGAATATACAGTAACAATAAACCTTGGTTCATAGTTAAGCTTAAGCAGCTATGTTGTTCCAAAGAGGAAGCTTACAGAAAAGGTGATAGAATACTGTACAATCAGGCCAGAAAAGTATTAACAAGGGAGACCAAAGCAAAAAGAAGCTACTCTGAAAAGCTAAGGAATCAGTTATCAAACTCCTAAAAATATCACCAGTTATGGCAAATCTCCTTCCCAGGCTGAAGGAAATCAACAACTGGCAGATGACTTGAATGTGTTTTAATGCAGGTTTGAAAAGAAACTACAGCCACCTACTGTATCTCCACAACCCCCATCCCAGACATACCAACAACAGCCAAACCTCCTACAACTGACCCCATCCTATTGGATTCACAACCCCTGGTGATCACAGAAAAGGAAGTGCGAGATCTATTTCACAGAAAGAAGCCAGGAAAAGCACCAGGCCCAGACAAGATAACTCATTCTTGCTTAAAAGTTTGTGCTGACCAATTGGTCCCCATCTTCACCCGAATCTTTAACAAATCACTAGAGATGCATCATATTCCTTCTTGCTTCAAGCGCTCTGCTATCATCCCAGTGCTGAAGAAGCCCTCCATCAAGGAACTGAGTGACTACAGACCAGTTACTCTAACATTTGTAGTTATGAAAATCTTTGAAAGGCTAGTGATGTCCCACTTGAAAACCATCAAGGATCCATTGTTAGACCACCTGCAGTTTGCATACTGAGAAAATAGATCGATAGATGATGCTGTTAATATGGCTCTGCACTACATCCTACAACATCTTGAACCTCCAAAGACCTACGCAAAGGTCCACTTTATAGACTTTAGTTCAGTATTCAGTACCATCCAGTGGTGGGTTTCAAATTTTTTTGGAACATCTTCTGTAGGTGTAGCCTGCTTTGTGGGAGTGGCTTGCCAGCCATGTGACTGGGTGGGAGTGGCTTGCCAGCCATGTGACCAGGTGGGAGTGACCTGGCATGGTTGATCTACAAAATGATATAAAAAAGGAAATTTATTATTTTGTGTACTTACTACTTAAATAAGATTAAAATAAGTACACAAAACAATAAAAGAGCTACTTACGGAAGGAAGATGACTGTCCTTGCCAGTCTTCAATATCACCGACTCCAATGAATGGCCTGCACAAAGAAGAAACACAGAAATGAACTCTTTCATTGCATGCACTGCATTAGCATGAAACAAGCACACAGAAAAGGAAGATGAC